AGTGGCGCTCGAGAAATGCAAAAAAGAAAATATCCAACCAAAAATGTGGCTGAAACCACATCAAGTCTCCTTCAAAACCGGTTACTTTTTTCCGGGTCGCTAACATCATCTGCGAGCAAATCCAAGATCCTCAGTACCAGCTTAAAACCGCGGTCACTAGAAAACTCGTTGCTTTCTAGTAGCCTTTTGAGTAGCAAACCGTCAGTGACCCACGGTCTTTTCGGTACTGCCCCACAGAAAACATCGAGAATCACTTTGTCCCGAAATGTCCAAGTAGATGAATCGAAGGAGGAAGATACTAAGAAAGCAGCGGATATCTCCTTAGAGTCTTGGACTGATCTCGCTTCTTTTCACGAACATATTGATTTCACACCCGAGCAATTAGGTGTACCAGAAATAAACGTTCACTGTTTGAATCAGACACCAAAGTTCTTCGATGATTATGCTTTGGGTCGTGCCGCTGATGTTCGAGAAACTAAGGTATGAATGTTAATCGATAAATTTATTCTTCCAGGAAGAATTGCTTCAGTTTGTGGCTTCTTCTTTAGTAGACGGTGGTGTGTTAAAACGTGCAGAAGGGCGTCGCACCTTCGTAAACTACTTACAAATTTTATCGAATAATGACCCTGAATTCATCCTTAAGGTAAAAAATTACAAACTAACCATTCACTGTTCAGTGTGCTCTCTATTGTCGCCGGGAACTGAACATACGCACGACGTCAAATGCACTCTTGGCATGCGCCTGTTTGGATAAAAAATGTTATCCCTTTTTGGATAAATATTTTTCTGCAATCGTTTCTCTACCATCTGATTGGATTGAAGTGGCGGAATATTTTAAGGTATAACTGTTGATATTAAGTCTATTTTTAGTCCATGACCACATATGGTTCCAAAAAGATTAGTCTTCCCAAACCCATGCGTCGTAACATGATTGCCAAATTTGCGGAGTTCGATGAATATCAGCTGGGTATGTTCAATAAGTAACCACTGGTTATTTTCTCAGCTAAACATAGCAAGGAAAAAGGAAGAGCAAAGCGCGCGAAGAGATTAATCGTAAGCTTTTAAATTGCTACTCACTCTTTACATGTAAAGGTATCTGGTCCCACTGCAAACCCTGAAGGAGATTCACACTCGTTTGTCAATTCCAGGCAGACCTACTTAACTATGAAATACCTTATTCGAATTCTGCACATACACACGCCAACATTCGCCGTGATGTGTCTTCTGAGGAAGAAATATCCATCTAGTGCCACGGAATTCGTACGTCTCGGCCTAGAAGGATCTTGGGATCCATCACTTGCCGGAACACGTATGAAATTTCCTTCTCCTGTCACATGGGAGACGGAACTATCCAAAAATGGTAATAATGCAAGCACTTGGGAGTCTTTAATAAGTAAGTTATGAGCTTTATATCTGAACAATCTCCATCTACTTAGTAGCATGTCTAACAGCAATAAGCTTAGCATATGTTAAGGTGTCCTCAGAACAGTTTGATTTCATTTATTAGTTTCAGTTTAATAACGATCGTCGTTTTCGACAATCAGTGATTATGTAGGTTGGCTCGGGTTTTTTGGAGTGGGTAAATTAGTAACCTCGAGGTAATTCCTCACATAGTCGAGTATGATTCGATGAAAAATTCGTCATTACGTCGAGTCATCATTGGTACAGCGGGGTACAGTGAAGCCCTCTTCACTGATCACTGTGAAACTTGCAATGTATACGAAGATAGTGGGAATATGTAGGATAAACGGGGGTTGGGCAAATTTTGAGGGAAGGGAACAGAAAAGGCATCTATGGGGCCAACACAGAGCTCACAATCAAACTGCGCTTGCATACTTTCTAAGCATCCTGGCTTGATACGAACTCCACTACTGTCGGTTTGCTGTCAAATCCTTCGGTATGTCCAACCAATCGGTTTTAGAATCTTTTGACCACAACCTGAAAGGTTTGAGACACCTGCTCCACCTGATAACTGAATTTTTCTCATGTCTCGTCTCCACGTCATATGTTGACTTACATGTAGTTTCTTCTCGCCCGAAGCGGCTACGGTAAATGAAGCACGATGCAGTAGACGACATATTAGTATGCCCAATAGTTGTCCTGAGCAGTGAGGTCTTCTAAGCTGAATCCGACGCGCTTGCAACTTTATCCCTGATAAACTTCCAAACATGTGGCGTTTTACCTCCAGATTACTAACCTTTTCTCCCCATCCCACATGAACCAAACTAAACAGGTATCTAGTCGATGAATATCTTCCATTCGCAAGTTTTAGGTTTTACAACCATAAAGCAGAACTAAACGAACGGTAGCGCAATATACACAACCCACGAAAAATGGTGGGTGAAAATAAACATTGAAATAAAAGTAGCTTCTGGATCAAAGAATAATCACCTGATACGCATCATCGGAGGTGAGACTATTTGTAATAAAAGTGGATAGATTATCCATAATAAAGAACAAGACTTTATCGCTGGTCAGAGTATTTTAGTGAACCGTACAGTCGGCCTGGTGCTGATGCGGTTAATCCGGTGATGCGATGGAAACTCCATGAGCCTCCAACAGGATTAGAAGTACGAAGATGTGTTCAGCCGTTTAAGAAATGGAAAACAACGGGACGTA